CCAGCACCGCCGAAGCCCAGATGCCTCGCCAGGCCGCCTCGCGGTTGGTGGTCGGAGACGGTGACGGGCCCCAGGGGACTTCGGGGCCTGCAGCCACCATGCTCCGCTCCCTGCTGCTTCACTCCCTGAGGCTCTGCGCCCAGACCGCCTCGTGCCTCGTGCTCTTCCCGCGCTTCCTCGGCACGGCCTTCATGCTCTGGCTCCTCGACTTCCTGTGCATCCGCAAGCATATCCTGGGCCGCCGCCGCCGGGGGCAGCCCGAGCCAGAGGTGGAGCTCAACAGTGATGGCGAGGAGGTGCCCCCCGACGACCCACCCATCTGCGTGTCCGACAGTAACCGTCTGTGCACCCTGGCGTCGCTCAAGGCAGTGTGGCACGGCCAGAAGTTGGATTTCTTCAAGCAGGCACACGAGGGCGGGCCGGCGCCCAACTCCGAGGTGGTCTTGCCCGAAGGCTTCCAGAGCCGGCGCATCCTGGACTATGCGCAAGGGAACCGCCCGCTGGTGCTCAACTTCGGCAGCTGCACCTGACCACCATTAATGGCGCGCATGAGCGCCTTCCAGCGCCTGGTCACCAAGTACCAGCGCGACGTCGACTTCCTCATCATCTACATCGAGGAGGCCCACCCCTCCGACGGCTGGGTCACCACGGACTCCCCCTACGTCATCCCACAGCACCGCAGCCTGGAGGACCGCGTCAGCGCGGCCAGGGTGCTGCAGCAAGGCGCACCTGACTGCGCCCTGGTCCTTGACACCATGGCCAACGCCAGCAGCTCCGCCTATGGCGCCTACTTCGAGCGCCTCTACGTCATCCAGAGTGGCACCATTATGTACCAGGGCGGCCGAGGCCCCGACGGCTACCAGGTCTCCGAGCTGCGCACCTGGCTGGAACACTACGATGAGCAGCTGCATGGCGTTAGGCCCCGTCGGGTGTAAACAACCCACGGACGATTGACTGGACTGGGCGAACTGGGCCTAACGGCCTTCGAAAGCCACGTGCAGGCGTCCCAAACGAAGTCAAGCTTGGCGAGGCCCCAGTGCTACAGAAGGGCTGAGCCAGGGCCCTGAGGCTGAGTCTGCGCCCTCAGCCACCCGCAGACTCCAGGACTCCTGCCTTCCTGGGACTCTGCTTCTGTGGCACTCTCATTTGTACCTGGCTGGCTCAGAATCCCCTTAGGGGCGCAGAAGTAGCGCGCACCCTAGTCTGTGTTCCCCCGGGACTTGCCCCGCCCCCCCCAGCACTTTCTCGGCCCCTCTCCCCAGCGCGCCTTCAGCCCAGCC